TCCCTTCCTCCCCTCCCACACTGACTCCCTCTCTTCCTACAGGACCCCAACGGACAAGGAGCACACCTACGCCATCCACACCCGGCTGGCCCATGTGTCACCTCAGGGCTCTGACGACCGGGAGCTGCTCTGTGGGCGCATCGAGCAAGAATACCGGGTGGGCCCCCTGGATCTGAACCGGGAGGCTGTGCTTAGGACTAGCACTGATCTGGACAACCAGCAGGTCATCCACACGGACAACAACGGATACCAGATGCAGCGCAGGCCCTACCGGACACATGCCAACAACAGCATCGCCCGGGTAGGTCAGGCCACAGACACAGTGTCGGCCTCCACCAAGTCTGCACCTCAGTTTCCTCCTCTGTGAAATGGGCACCTTGCCACGGGTTCTTCATTCCTGATGAAGGGGATGTCGAGCATCCCCGGGAATGCCGCCCGGCCACTCAGCAGGGTCAGACGCTCCTGCGGAGCTGCTGGCTTGGGGAGGGTACTCCTTCCCCCACCCCCACCTCTGTGCTCAGGGGAGAGGAGTGATAGTCCCAAGCCCTGTCCCTCTGTGGCCCTGTGGGCAGCCCCCACGGGATGTGACCCCATTCATCCCCCCATCTCCTTCCATTGTGACTCTTGTGGCCAGATATGAGTTTTATGCTGGTTCCTGAGCCATCCTGCCTGCTTCTGCCAGGTGGCCATCAGTCCACGGCCAGCCCCACATGCCTCCCCTCAAACCTTCTCGTCACTGTGACTCTGTGATACAGCTGGGGAAACTGACCCTTCTTGTCACTGTGACTCTGTGATACAGCTGGGGAAACTGAGGCTTGGACAGGTGACACTGACCCCCTAGAGTCCTGGGGCCTGGAAGCAGCAAGAGCATCGGTCAGGGCTAGGCCGCACGCAGCCACCATGCCATACGAAGAGCAATTAGGTAACAGAAGTGGTCAGTCCAGTTGTGTTGTGTCCACAGAATTACTATCCCATGGTCCAGGCAGCTTTCATCGAGGACAGCCAGAGCAGGCTGGTGTTGCTGTCAGAGAGGGCGCACGGCGTCTCCAGCCAGGGTGATGGGCAGCTGGAGGTAGGAGTGGGCACGGGCGGCCCTGTGGTGGTCACCCTGGGGGGCGGGTCAGGCCAGCTCAGGAACTGCCCTGTCCCTCAGGTCATGCTGCACCGACGACTGTGGAACAACCTCGAGTGGGACCTGGGCTACAACCTCACACTCAACGACACCTCGGTGGTCCGGCCCACGCTCTGGCTACTCCTGGGGCCCCGGCCAGTTACTGCTGCGCTGGGCCCGAGGGGCGGGCTGGCTCTGCAGCACAGGCCTGTGGTATGGTACGGGGAGCTGACCGGTAAGGAGCCCACCCTGAGCATGCTGACCTGGCAGGGTGGTCCTCGGGTTCTCGAGACAAACGAGGCCAGTGAGATAGATACACAGAAAGAGGTTAACGTCCGGGCATTGGCTCCAATCACTGGAGGAAGGACAAGTCCAAGACCCGTGGGTCAGGCAACAAGAAGCGTTCTGCCAGGATGTCACTACCCACTGCACCCACCAAGGGACACTCCCTTTACAACGGTGACCACTTCATTAGATTACGTCACATTATCACACGACACTGCTGCTGTGAGATTACATTGTGCAGTCCCATTGTGTGTGTTACATCACGTCACTCACAGTGACCTTGTGTACAGAATGAAGCGCTGCCCGGTCCTGCGTCAGCCTCACACCCGTGTCTGACCCATTGGTGCAACCTCTGTGCCTGTCCATCTCCCTGGGGTCCTCCTCTTCTTCACTGACCCTCGCTTTACCCAGCATGCTGTCCTTCTCCAGGGATCACATGTCCCAAGTTCGTGAGGTGGAGTCTGGCCATCCTCGTCTCTAAGAAGCATTCTGACTGTAGTTCTCCCAAGACAGATCTGTTTCTTCTTCTCACTGTCCATGGGTATATTCAGTATTCTTCGCCAACACCGTAACTCAAATGCATCGACTCTTCTGTGGTCTTCCTTATTCATTGTCTAAGTTCCACGTGCAAGTGAGGTGATTAAATACCATGGCTTGGGTCAGGTGCACCTTACTCCTCAAAGAGACATCTTCACTCTTCCACATTTTAAAGCGGTCTCATGCAGATTTACTCGATGCGATATATGAATTGATTTCCTAATGGCTCCTTCCGTACCTGTTGACTGTGGACCCAAGCAAATGAATTCCTGTGCAGCCTCAGTACTTTGCATCAAGTTGCTCACTGGTCCCGTCGTGAGGATTTTGTTTTTCTACCCTGTAGTTTCGTAGGCTGTGATGTTGACAAGGAGCACCTGATGGCGCTATAGGGTATGCACTGGGCTGCTAAATGCGAGGTCAGCAGTTCAAACCCACCAGCTGCTCTACAGGAGACAGATGAGCCTTACTGTTCCCACGCAGATTGGAATCCTATACAGGTCATTGCGTTGGAATCACCTCGACCGCAGTGGTTTGGTTTGGTTTTTTAATCGCTTCTGGAGCGATCACCAGATCTTTCTCCCTCGAAGCCACTGGTGGATTTAAAGCACCAACCTTTCGGTTGGCAGCCAAGGGCTTAATCAGTGCACCACCAGGGCTCCTTACACTACAGTACACGGTGGAAGTTCATTACATCACATAACGTCGCATTAGGCTGCACTACAATACATCTCGGAGCCCTGGGGGTGCTGTACAGTAAGCACTGGGCTACTCACTCCAAGGTTGGTGGTTCAAACCCACCAGCCACTCCCTGGAAACTCTCCAGGGTGGCTCTGAGTCGCAGCAACACGTGTACGTTACATTCCACGACGTCATGGTCCTGGCGTGGCGCTGTAGGATCAACACTGGACTGAAACCCACCTCCAGCTGCTCCTTGGGAACCCTAACCCACTCACTCTGAGTCTGAACCGACTCCACATACACACCAGTAGCAGTGCACATTATACCACAACACACCATGAACAGCAACTAGACTCACATGGGTCAACCACTGGGAATCGTCACCTCACCAAATGACACATGGAATTAAGCTTCCCAGGAGCTTTGTGCCTTCGGGCGTCCTGCCTGGGAGGACGTGCCTGGGCCCTTATGTCACAGCTGGAACAGACTGAGGAAAGCAGGAATGCTGGGACTCCCGGTCCCTCCGTGCACCTTCAAGAGTCTAGCCCATCCGCCTCTCTGGAGTGTCTAGTTCTTTCTAGCTCTAACAGTATGATTAATGTCAGGGTCAGCAAGGGCCAAGAGTGATCAGGGTCCATTCCTGGATCCGTCAGGCTATGGGGCCTTTCCTGGACATGGGAAGTGGCCAAGTCCCATCCCACCTGGCCCCGCTCTGGTCTCTGCAGCTGCTAGTGAGGAAAAGCCCATCTAGAACCAGCTTGAGCCATGCGCAATTTTTTCAAGGCCCACAGCCAAGGGCAGGGCAGGGGTGGAACTGAGCCTAGGGTCTGGAGCCTCCGCTGTGGACAGCCCTGCAGCCTTCCACCCACGAGGAGCTGAGTCCCTGAATTCCAGGGCCCTGGTGCAAGTGTCCTAGGGAAAGGTTCTGATTGGTCCTCTTGGGTTGGTCCTAGACCAATTGCTGTGAGCCATTTGCTAGGAAAGGAGGAGGGGACTGTGATGCCTCAAAGCAGAAGGGTAGACAGACGACAGGACAGGGAGGTGCAGGCTTGTCCTGAACTGTGTGCTCCTGGGCTGACTTCGGTTGAACTGGGGGAGGACTCTTGTGCTCTCAGCACCGGTTATTGCGCAGGTGCACGTATGGAGGGCTGGTGGGGCTGGAGCAGGGTGGGGGGTGGCCCCACGGCTCTCTCCTCTCGATTCCTCTCTGCAGGTACTGCCCCAGGGCCCCCAGGACGATGGCAGCAGACGTCTGTGACTCTGCCCCCAAACCTTCATCTGCAGACCCTGAGCCTCCCTGGCTGGACCTACAAGTCAAACCACACGGAGCATCAGCAGGGTCTCCAAGCAGGTGAGCAGGCAAGCAGCCCGTCCTCCCGGTGAAGGGGCGCCCCTCACTGCTCTTATCTGACAGGTGGGGAGACTGAGGCCCACAGGGGCAGTGAGTCACCCGGCCCCTCAGGAGCCCTGAGCACAGCCCTGGCCTCTGGTCTCCGGCCTCCAACATAAGTCTCCACAACAGGATGGACTCCCACTGACCTTGAGCCAGGAGTCCAGCCTGCCTGTCTCTCAGAGGCCTGTGATGATCTAAATCCCATTTCCTCGGTCACAGGCGTCCTTTCTCTGTCCTGTCTCTCTTCTCCAAAGGACACCATGCTTAGGGATTCTTGGGGCCCACCCTGCCCCACTCTGACTGCATGAGACCATCTCTTCTACAAAGACCCTGTCCCCAAATGTGACTTTTGGGGACACGATTCAACATGCCACTAACGCAAAGGCAGCCTGGACTCCAGGTCTCACATCACAGCCTGCATCTCCAACCCCACCCCCTATTCTTAAAGGGGTCCCCTCCACCCTCCACCCCCAATGCAACTGGGTCCAGCCCGGCCCTCGGCCCTCTTGACCCTGCCTCCCCCAGCATTCTGGAGCTACACATTGCACCCCCTCCTCTTCTGAGCTCAGGCAGTCTGGCTCCTGGACAAGCCAGTGACCAGGGAGCCCCCAGACCAGGAAGGGTTGGGTCACAGGGACCCCCCCGACTGGGCAGGGTGGGGCCGCAGGGAGCTCCCAGACCAGGTGGGGTGAGGTCTCAGGGAGCCCCAGCTGGTGCATCAGGGAAGCCTTCCTAGAAACAAGGCCTGGGAGGAGCCGACTTGATCTGCCTCATCTGCACATCTAGACTGAGCAGTTCTATCTAGACAGGGCGCAGGCCCCCCAATGCCCCCAATTCCAGGCCATGCCCCCCAGACAAGACTGGGTAGAGTTGCCTTTCTGGTGGGGGCTGGGATCTCGGAGGTGCAATGGGGTCCTGTGCTAGGCGCAGATTTAGGGTGCCAGGCTAGGTGGACCCTTCACTGCCCTCTGTCCCCGAAGGCCGCCGAGGAGAGACCAACCTTCGCCGTGTGCTGCTGCGGCTCCACCATCTGTATGAAGTAGGGGAGGACCCCGTCCTGTCTCAGCCAGTGACAGTGGACCTGCAGGTGTGGCGTCACATGTACAGGACTCACAGGGAGCGGGAGCGGGCCCCCTCCTCTCTTCCTGATGTGAGGGGTTCCCCTCAATTAGGGACAGCTGGCCCCCTCTGTACCTGGTGTGGGGGGGGGTCCCCATCAGTTAGGGATGGGTCAACTACCCAGGATGAACATCCCCGCAGTGCTGTGAGCAGACACAGTGGTTCCACCTGACAGGGTCTCAGGGTGAGTGGACGCTGTGAACCTCTGTCCTCACGGTCACACGATGTCACAGTACTCCTTGTAGCAGATGGCAGAGGGGGTGGGGTGCAGCTGCCCCTGGGGGCTCCCTCTGTTCAGTCTCCAAGAGCCAGCCCCTCCCCCAGTGGGCAGACAGGGTTGTCCCCTCCTCAGTGGACGAGGGTAGGAGGAGGCCTGCACACTCGAGGCAGCTAACAGTGCTGCCCCTCTTGAGTTTGCACATCCAGCCTCAGTTTCCCCATCTCCCAGCCTCGCTGCAGGTTTGCTGTTAGTACTAAGTGAGGGCCACGGCCGCGCAGGGATCTGAGTCCATGGCTCCTCTCTGGCTGAGCCTGGACCTCCGTGTAGCTCACCTCCCCCGCTGTGTTCCCACAGTCCATCCTTCAGGGCCTGGGGACCCTGGGGGCCGTGGAGGAGCGCTCACTCACGGGGACCTCGGACGTACACAAGCTGGGCCGCTGGAGCTGGAGGACACGGACCCGTCTTCCCCACGAAGGTGAGGCCCATGCTCAGCCTTGTACAAGTGGGACTTCCCAGTCAACCCACAGAAGTGGGGTCCTTGGCTAGTCCTGTAGAAGTAGGGGGCCTCCTTGCTCTTCCCACGGAGGTGAGGGCCACGCTTAGCCATGTAGAAGTGGGGGTTCACCGCCACTCCAGCCTGGGAGCTAGGCACACCTGATTCAGATCCCAGCCCCTTCTGAGCTGCATGACGTGGAGCCGCCTCGGAACCACACACTCTCAGTCACCAGCCAACCCTAAACTCCCACCACCTTCTCCATGTGGCACGTGTGTGCTGTAGGCATGTGTGTCTGCCCTTCAGTACTGTTTCTAGAGCTGCCTGCTCCCAGCCCACCCCCACTGCAGCTTCATGCCTTCTGTCTGGGACATTCCAGCCAGCTTCCACTCAGCCTGCCTCCAAAGCCTTCCCCCAGGTTCCTGGCCCCTCAGGCACCTCATCTGCTCTCCAGACAACACACCCTCACCCTGTAGTTCTCTGCCTCCTACACCTCTTCTTAGTCCGCTCCATGTAGCATTATTCCAGGTAGACACTAAGGCCATGGTGGTAATGGTTAAGTG